GACAACAAATTTACTGTTTATATATACTTGTTACTGTTTCATTTGATGACAGTAATAAACAGAAAAAATTTTATAAATTGTATTATCAAAAATTATTTAATTATCCGGAAAATATAAAAAATTTAAAAAATATCCGGAACTCCGGAAATATCCGGAAAAAGATAATTCCTGATATTTTTTAATTTTCACTTTATGGTCTGTATTTTTTTCCGCAAGTTTACAATAATCTCTGCACTACTCAAAAGTCTACATGTAAATAATTTTAAAATTAGAAACTTATTCATTTTGTGTTTGCAAATTAATATTTTAATGTAAAGTAGTTTTATCTTTACCTTACTGTTTTTTAGCCTTTTATGGTTTTATGATATAAAATAGTTAATTCTCCAGCTTAACAGTTTTATTTATGGCTTTCTGACATGATGGCAGGAGGTTAACAAGAATAATGGTCGGCCAGGAAACTTAGCTAATCTTGTACAAACTCCTTTTAAATAGCCAGGGCTTGAAGTGGGTGAACTGTATGAGATCAAAAAGATCTAACAAATTTTTCTAATTGCTGTGCATTGGGGCTAAACGCTATTGTGTTTAAAAACCATGCTTTTTTAATTTCATAATGAATTTGTGTCTTTTTAAAATACCACCAGTTAACAAAAATAATAGTAATAAAAATGCGCACAATCGGTATAGATAAAAAACCTTCTATTATTTGTAATGATATTATTATATAGTTAATGATTTGTAAATTTCTATTCGCGCCGATTGTTTGAAAATGCCTGTAAAAACTCAAAAAATGAAAAAAACGTTAAACTTTAAAGGAGTGATGCAAGTATAAATAGTCATCTAAAATAAAATATAAAAAAACTTTATTGATAAAACAATACCTTGGGAATGTTTTATGACACTACGCGTTTTAAAATTTGTTTATAAGGGTCAAAGTGGGATGGGCTAATATATATATATATATATATATATATATATATATATATATATATATATATATATATATATATATATATTAGGGTGTGCCCTGTCGCCCCTTATATTCTAAAAAAGATTTGTTCATATTCTTAAAACTTGTTATTGGCTTTCTTTAAACTTTAAAAGGTGCGAGTATAAATAGTCATCTAAAACAAAAAATAAAAAAATTTCATTAAGAAAACATTACAATGGGAATATTTAACAACACTTCGCATATTAATATTTGTTCATGAAGGTCAAAATGAGATGGGCTAGCATACAGCTGAAGTAGCCTCAGGGAAGAAGGAGAAAAGATAACAATAGAGTAAGTGTTAGCTAAAAACCATTAAAAGGTGTTGGACAGATCCCCAGTATAAAAGCACAAAAATTCAAGCAAAGATTTAATATTAATAATTGTTTACATATATTTCACCAATAACATAGTAGACCAAAACATAGGAGGTGAGTAGAAGTCAGCACATGAGCTAAATGTTAAAGAGTAATAGGCATCCAAAATTACAAAGCACTAAAAAATTGGGGATAAAAAATGCACAGAAATAGAAAGGTAATATGAAACAATTAAGGCTATGTGAAAAATGTGTAGACTGCATGGCATAATTGAAGCTTAAAAATTATGGATGTATGCGTGTGTGCATTATTTAGAAAATACACTGAGAGGCTTAAACGGTATTAGAAATCTGAATGTGAAGAGATGTGTATCATTCAAAAACATACAACATAAAAAATTTTTTATATAAAAAAAAAAAAGATAAATGCTTACAAAGAGAATATATGAGCAGCAGGATTTAAAAGAAAAACAATGAATTAGTGGATAGTGGTGGTATCCAAAACCATGGACATTCTGTGTACAAAGTAAATGCCTCATCCAAATAAGCTAAATATGTGTTTACTAATGTAAAAATTTAAATATAATTATATAACTGAAAAAGTGATGTAAAAAGTAAAAACATAAAAGTATTGTAAAAATGCATTACATTAGCATGCATTACATAGAAGTATTCATTTAAGGGACATTCTATTCTTGTTACATTAAAATTTTGCAAATATATTTGACAAACAGATAGCAATTATATTTTTGTTTTTATTTCTTAAAAAAAAAAAAATAAAAATAAAATATAGGAAATCAGTATTTTTAATGTTGACTTAAAACTGTTTGTTTTTTTTTTTTGCTTTGCCTTATCCAATTACTGTTTTGGGTGGTTGTTACTGAAAATAACAACCACCCAAAAGAATGGAAAATGAAAACAGTATTTTCAAATTTATTTCAATTTACTATTTTATTAGTTTTGCTTTTCCGCAAACTACTGAAACGCTAAAATATAATAAAACTTGCAAACAGCATTGACCTAGTCGTTAAAAAAAAACAAACTTTTTTGTGGATAAACAAGATGAAAAACCGCATGCGTCTCCTGGCAAGACTTTTACATATAGGTACATTAACAATTGAGTTGTGCATAGTTCATAAAAACGTGACTTAAATTGAAATGACATATATACATTGAAAGATACATAATAAAAATGATTTAATAAGAAATATATATAAGAGATAAAATTAAAACATCAAACTAAAATAAAAATGTAAATGTATAGATAAGAATATCCCATCTCACTCATGTAAAAAATTCTCATAATAAAACTCATAATATTGTGACAAATATTGATTTCGAAAAACTTTTTATTATATGCGTGTGTTTTAAAGTCAGTATATTAAAATTCAACTGAGCAGAATATATTTATACCAGTGTTGTTAAAAGGCCATAAATAAAAATCCAAAGCCTCGTCATCTCTAGATATAGATTTGGCCTTTTAACCTGTTGTGAGACTAAAGCTAAAGCCAAGGGCAATTCTGGCAAGGTCAAAGCAAATCTGAGGATACCAAAAAATATGAAAAAAGCAGCCTCATTGACTGGTCCACTCAGCCTTAGTAAAATTAATTTAATGAATTTAATTTACTTAGGTTTTAGTAGTAGCAGGTTAATCTTTCATTTCCTTTGTGTTCTATTGTTAATGAAATCATTAAGTCACTTATGATTCATCAGTAAATAGTTTTTAAAATAAATATTAGGATATTATTTAAAAAAATGTTTTCCTGTTTATGGATGCTAAGATCTATCAATTTTATAATACTCCAGGACTGTAGATGCCAGCCAGGCTTTGGACAGGAATGGCATGCGATCGAATGCTGTTACTGACCACTTATAGTTTTTTTTCTTCAAAATTTGACCACAGCCGTTTGATGTTTTAACAATTTAAATGCAATAAAAAAATCGTTATGTTAAGAATAACTTTTAATTGTTAATCCTTTTTGAAGTTTTTATTTTACGCAAAGGCTTTAAATAAAATACAAAATAAGTTCTAACAATTTTTTAAAGTAAAAAATAAATTTTGTGTAAATTAACAAAAAATGTTGTATTTAAATTTTTTTATGTTGGCATGTATTATTTATGATAAATTTAAACATTTGAAACTATTTTTCCATGTCTTTATATTTTTTTAAAAGATTATTATTTTTTTGTTTCTCTGTTTAAAAAGAATTGTTTAAAATTTTTTTGTTTTTTTAAACTATTTACTAGACAGAGAATGAAATTATTAAAAATTACTATATTAAAAAGACTACGTTATTTTTTTAAACAATTATTTTTGCGACTTTTTGGAAAAAATGTTTATAGAATTAAAAAAAAACTCTTTTTTTTTCCAAAAATTCTAATGAAATTTGTACATTTATTAAACAATCATTAAAAGTAATTTGTAAAACGTTTTGCGTTTTTTAATACTTAAATAAAAAATAAACGTTTGTCGTTTTTTAATACTTTAATAAAACATTTCTAAAGATAACTTAAGAAGTAATTTATTTCAAATGCAATTAAAAACATAACAAAACTTGAGTTTAAGTTTTTTGAGTTTTATTTTAAATATTTTCTTTTCCAAAAGGAATTGTTTGTTTTATTTTCTTTAGTTTTTTATTTATTTTTTTCCTAGTTTAAGTTTAGCTTAGTGTTTTTTTTTTCAGCACATTTCTGAAATGTTTAAATCATCAAAACATCTAAACCGCCATGGTCAAGTTGTCAACAAAAAAAAAAAAATCATTTGCGAGGTCAGTATGGCGTTCGATTGCACGCCATTCCTGTCCAAGCCTGCAGGGTAAAAAAATGTGTTTCCTAGACAATAAATAATTTTAAAAAATGTTAACACAATTATGACAGAAAACGTTGATCATACTTTTTTTATATTTAAAATTTTGCTTAAGCAAAAAAGATGGGTAAACATAAAAGTTTAATGTTTATAGTTAATTTAACTACACTTTAAACTGCATCACTGAAATAAATTAACAGAATTCTTACACTGTACAAAAAATATATTTTAATAACTAAATCCTTTTAAGTTGTGATTGTTCATAACACAAAAACTTTAGAAAAACATCTCATCCATTTTATTAAAGGTTTTGTAATTACTCAAAAATATTGAAAATTTTATTAAAAAAAAAAAATTCAACGCGTTGGATTTCTTCAAATTAATTAAAAAGATAAATTTTAAAAGTTAATATATAGCTATTATAAAAAAACATTTTTGAGAAATTACAATTTTCAAAATAAATATTAAAAAAGCAAAAGATTTTTTGTGTGACTTTATTAAGATATTTTTCAACATCTCAAAATATTCTTATGATTGTATGCTAACTATTATTTAATTATTTATATTAAAAAAAAAAACAATTGGATTTCATATTGTTATGCATGTTATGTGTAGGTATGACATAAAAAATACAAAAATGAATTCTTTTCCAGTTTTTGGTGAGCTACTATGTTCCAAAATATTTGTACTTATATTGAATGTCTATCAATTATATGTATTATTACTATTTATTACTATATTAATATAAAAATTTTTTTGATAACTTTTTTTTTATCAAACCCAGTCAATATCCAGCTATTACTATATTACTATAAATCTCTATAATTAAATGGTAATAATAAAAATGTTTATATCAAACAATTAGTGATGATGTATAAATAAAATAAACTTACAACATCCAATACCATTGACAGATGCCCAAGAAGAAGCTTTGGTTTGGTTTCTTCAAGTGCACATCTGTTATATATAAATACTATTAAAAAATAATCATTAAAACGAAATCTCATTTGTAAATTATATGCATGCTTCGTCCATTTTTTTTTTTTTTATTACAACAATATAAATAACTATTTTTATGTTTTTTTATTTAGAAAGTTTGTTTATAAAACATTAATTTTGCTTTGATACAAACACAAATAGTCATGCACTGTCACTAATGCAAAATCACATGCAATTACTAAAAATCATGTGCAATTACTAAAAATCACATGCAATTACTAAAAATCACATGCAATTACTAAAAATCACATGCAATTACTAAAAACAGATGAAATATATAAAACATTAAACTATGCAATTCTGTAAAATCATGTAGTCCTTTAAAATCATGCAGTTCTGTAAAACTATGTAGTCCTGAAAATTATGCAGTTCTGTAAAATCATGTAGTCCTTAAAATCATAGAATTCTGTAAAACTTGTAAATATTAGAAATCCAAAGTAAAATTTAGTTTACAAATTTAAAATCTGCAGAAAATATTAGCAAAACGCAGATCTATATAAGGCATGTACCAGAAAAAATCTGTGCATGTTTTGATGTACTGTTTACAGTAACCGTAGATTATGTTAATTAACTAATTTTTTTAAAACGTCATCGTATTTGTATTATTCAAAAGTTAAACAACTCTGATTTCAAAACAATTAGTTTTAACTGAAATGTCATCGAATCAAGATAAGTAGCATAAAATTTTTTTGCATTTTCTGGTTGAAAATTCTGGTAAATCAAAAAAACCATTTTCTAAAAAAATACAGATTGCTTCGGGAACAGTGCAGAGTGTTGTAAAACTATTTAAGGATACTGGTACAATCAAAAGGAAATCAGAAAGTGCAAGAAAAAAAGTTTTTGTTTGACAAAATCTTGTTTAAAAAGTGAAAGATACCTTAGACAGAAATCTGAAGATTTCAGTTCCAACTTTAGCAAATAAACTTATTTAGATAATAGCTTCCTTCAAAAACAAAGGGATTAGAATTCATTGCAATGGATTAGAGCTACCAAGAAAGTCCAGCCAAAATACTGTGCAAAAGCTGATGTCAAGTGTTAAACACAAAGTGCATGCATTCTCATGTACACAACTTCACAAATTTACTTAAGTGGTATTCAAGAATGTTAATAAATGTACTTGAAAATATATAACATTTAAAGTTGAAATAATATAATAAATATTCTTTATAATATCTGTGCATAATAATATAATAAATATTCTTTATAATATCTGAGCAGATTTTTTCTGGTACATGTATTATTATTACAGACACAGGCAGTTAGGTTGGCATTCTACAATGTCGACCTAACTGCCAACCTCTATGTGTCTGATATTGGCAAAAAATTGTCAACCTCGTTTCAATGTTTTATGGTAAGACCTTTGTATCAAATTTTTTTTTGCCAACCTGATGCCGACCTGTAAAAAATTGAGGTCGGCAAATTATTGTTGACCTCATTTTTTCTAATTCCAAGGGTTGGTACTAATGTAGTAAATATGGTAGTAGCAGTGTATTTTCTTTATAGGCAAGTTCAACTCCTATAATGTTATGTTTTCAAACATATTTACAGTTTTCTATTGCCAACAAAATAAGAACTAAGGTCTAAATAACTTTTTAAAATAGAGAATTTTTCCGGTCCAAGACAAATATGAAATATTTTTATCTAATCAGAATTGGACAAATCAAATGCCTATAAAAATTATAGGCATGTTTATATTTTATTGAAATCTTTGAGTTGTGTAAAAACCAGCAATGTGTAGGTAAAGCATAAACTTTGTACCTAAAATGTATAACGCTTTAATTGCCTTAATGATGTTTGATTATCCCATTCTATTTAACAAACCTTATGTTTCACAACAAAATTTTGTCAACCAGCAGTTAGCTAGGTATAACAGTTATGTATGGAACTTAAATCTTTTAAATTTTGAGGGCTGTATAATATATATATATATATATATATATATATATATATATATATATATATATATATATATATATATATATATATATATATATATATATATATATATATATATATATATATATATATATATATATATATATATATATATATAAACAAATATATGTATATATTAAATAAAGTTGTGGAATCTAAGAAGAAAACATACTTACTGGTATACATCTCCACTTTTATCCCCAACAACCACTGTATTTTTATCATGTTCAAATGAAAGACAAGTAGGACGCTTTCCAATATCCCTACAAATATTTAAATATGCATGTATTGAATTTTAACAGTATTCTTAAAATAATTTATAAAAACTCTTCTTGTGGATTTGAATGAATCCAAATTACATTTTTTATAGTTTAAATAACCTTTAAAAATAAATAAAAAGTCCATGCAAATCAGTATTATAGATATTTTTGAATTACTTCAAGTCCTGAGTAAAAATTCATGAAAATGTTATTTTTGAGTACATAATTTGATCAAGTATTAGAAAGAAAATAATCATGAGACTGTTTTTTTCAGTGAATTCTAGATACATGAATATAAATAAGCAAAACTACTTGCCATCATAAGATGCAGATACCAGAACATAATAAAAGGGACAAAAAATTGTATATTCAAAAACAAATCTATGCTAAAGTCTATGCTTAATTGTCTCATACAATTTAATGGTGCGTACATCAATTTTTCATACATCATTAGAGTCTGGATTGATGACTGAGAAAGAAAGGCTATCTCTCTTAACGGTTGAACCAATGTGTCTATAATTTCAGCCAAGATAAGCAGCAAGAAACTTTCCTCTGCAAAACTTTAAGCCAGCATTGTTTCTAGCTTCTTTCAATGGTGATAATTTTTCTTTGAAAACTCCTACAAACTGCTCCAGCTTGAATCATATTTATTAGTTCTCAGCTTGTTTGTTCTTCTCTTGTCAATTTCAACTAATTCCATTGTAAGAGATAGGAATGCTTTCTACCCAGCTGATGTGTCCAGCAGTTTTTGAACTTCTATTCTCTGTTAAGTGATGCAAAATACCCTACTGATAGTATGATCGATGCTCAATATTAAAGTTTTTTGTCTTTAACAACTAGGTTTTTTAACAATATGCTACAATCTCTGAAACAGTCTGACACCCAAAAATCTATAGCACCTTTCACTTCATCCACAGTACACAGTAGAGTTCGCCAACAATATATACATACATACATACATATATAAATATATATATATATATATATATATATATATATATATATATATATATATATATATATATATATATATATATACAGACAGTGAAATTTGAAGGATTTCAGGTCGGCACAAGCGCGCCGACCATAGCAGACGTCAGTTCGGCAAAAAAAAAAGGATTGATGAACTTGTAACTATATGTAAATTGATGGAGGGAAAACAAAAGTTTAAATACTAAAAACAGTTTTTTTCCTCTTATATACAAACATTGTTTTGAGTTTGCTTACTGTATTACTGTTGGATCTGTTGCGATTTTATGGAAGCCTAAACTTTTATCAAATTAAAAAAAAGTTTTGTAACTAATGGAAATTAGTTATCTTCTCCGCATGTTTCTAACATAACTATAACAAGGTTAAACTTTTCTAATATACTTTCTGATCTTTAAAAATTCTAAAAAAAACCATTAACATGTCAATTATTTAATTATTTAAATAGTTTTAAGTAAAAAAATAAAATAAAATTATATTTTATATTTTAATAATTGCGCTTAAAAACCCAGAGAATAACAGGCATTTAAAAAGTAATATTTTTAAACTTTGCAATGCTTGAATAAATTTGAAAAAAAAAAGAAAAACATGTCAAACTTGAAAAGCAAGTAATTACAATAAAAAAATTATAAAATAATATTAAATAAATATTAGATATTTTTTACATGTATTTCAACTTGCATGCCGACACTTTAGAATATTCAGGTCGGCAGTTGTATGCTGTCCTAAAGCAAAGATAGGTCAGCTTTTGCGTCGGCATTGCCGAATGCCGACCTGAATTATATATATATATATATATATATATATATATATATATATATATATATATATATATATATATATATATATATATACACACACATATATATATATATATATATATATATATATATATATATATGTATATATATATACACACACATATATGTATATATATATATTATATATATATATATACACATATATATATATATATATATATATATATATATATATATATATATATATATATATATATATATATATATATATATATATATATATATATATATATATATATATATATATATATATAAAGCGAAATTATATAAAAATTTTAAAAACAGTCATCATTTTATAAAAAACCTTAAAATATATATATACATATATATATACAGTCCACGCCAAACAAATAGCACACACTATAAATATATTTTATTCTTTTTATACTGTTTTAAACAGTAAAATATCTGAAAATAGTCATAATCAGAGAGGTAATAAGAAACATATCAATTTTGGCGCAAAATATTTTCCCGCGCCAAAATATGGTAGACCATATGATATTTTCTGGTGAGAAATGGATAGCACATGCCAATCATTTAACATTTGACTGCAGCAGATGAATTGCTAACACTAGGTAAGTGATACATATATTAACGTAGACCAAAAGGCCATCATATGTGAACTAATCATATATGTTACAGAGGACTACTATGGAAGGTGGAACAAAGTTGAATGCCGAGGAAGTCGCTTTGACATTCAAGGCTGCTAATGTATCAATGCCTGAGATATCAAAACATTTACTGTTAAGTTGGAAGATGATCAATATTGTCTTGTGTTAAATTGTGTTGAATATGTATTAATTAATGTGTTAAACTAAATATGTTCATAGATCTATTTTATTACTAATACACCTATTTTAAAGTTGGAAAAAGTAAAAAAAAATTGTACTCAAGTAAAAGTACTGTTACTTGAGTGAAATTACTCAAGTTACTGGTCAAAAAGTTAACTCAAATAAAAACAAAAAGTAGCTCATAAAAATGTACTCAAAGTAAAAGTTACTGCATTACTTTTTTAACAGCCTGTCAGATAACAAAGCTGTCAGATAAAAAAACAAAAATCACGTAGTCTATTCTTTTATGTATAAATTTTTTTTTTTGCGCAGAAAATTTTTTTATTGTCGTAAAAAGTGAAAAGAAACCAAGCTAAAGCAGTTAAAAGTTGCTATGAGCATGCTTAACATTTTTTTAAAAACAATTTAAAAGTGTCATTTTTATTAAATAAGAACGAAACTCAAAAAAAAAAAAAAAAAAAAATTAAATTATAGTATTTGCAAAATTAAACAATACATAATAAATTTTTTTACTCAGTAACGCATATGATGTCAAAAATTTTAAACATAAGTTTTACTAATCATACAAAAAATGACTAATTTTCTTTTAAGTTAGTACTATGTGGTTCCATAAAGTTCTTATTTACAGAAAATCTTCTTTGTGGTGTAATGTTGCCATGAAAAAGAAATAAAACACACTTAACAAGTGAAAGCAGCTAAGGGAATTTTAAATTTCCAATTTTATCACATATTGTCCCCGCTTGACTTCAATAATAATCAATTTGGTTTAATTTTGATCAATTATTTATATCATTTTTCTTCTACTGAAACAGGCATAGTAGAATCACAACAATTTCACTTTTGTTCCTAATTCTATTGAACTTAATTTCTTATGGTTTTCAACTTTGCAGAAATCAAACATTAAAATTTTATTGTGATTTGAACTCTCCATTAATATTTGTTAAATTTTTTTTTTTTTTAGAATAGGGCTTGTTTGTTAGCAGATTTCAGGATAAAGCATGTGAATCATCGATAATTCTGTTTGAAATGTTACTAAATGCTTTAAAATCTTGGGTTGAAAAAGCACATAAAGCTAAATAATATTGAGTCTAAAAATCATTGTGCAAGTTTCACAAATTTTTTTGCATCAATCTGATTTGAACAAAGCCATAAAACTTTTTTGCTTTTAAATGAACTTTAAAAAATACTCTTTATGATTCACTTATTATTCTAAAATCCTCACAGCAACTTATTTTTAAGAAAGCCTGTTGTGATTTCTAGTGTTTATACTGCTATTTATTTTGCTATTTATGTTATACATACATATATATATATATATATATATATATATATATATATATATATATATATATACATACATATATATATATATATATATATATATATATATATATATATATATATATATATATATATATATATATATATTCTTCTATCTTTAACTTAGTATATTATTGTTGAATAAAGCCTTATCAAGAGGTCTTCATTTCATGAGTTCATAACAAAGTCATAGAGTTTCAACATGTTTTTTGGCAAACTCAGCAACCAAGTCAGTTATTTTAACTAAATAAGCATAGTCTTCACCCCTGGCACTAGACAGTCTTTTAAAAAAGTGAATATCAATAAAAAATTCATCTGAATCAAAGGAGAGCTTTTTAATGCCTTTTGTAAAAATTGTAAGAAGTTTATGAAGGTTATATGTACAACAAACTCAAGAATTATATTGCCACATTTTTTCTTTATATCCAATGATAACTTCATTTAACAAGCTGTGTAAACATTAGGTCCAAATGTAAAAGATATAAAGAATACAAGCCAGCTTCAAATTAATGATCGACTAGTTGTGATCACAATGAACAATAAAAAGAGAACCACAACATGATGCTATTTTTCCTTTTTTGTCTGATTAAAGAAAAGATTGAGCTAAATCTTCCAGTGTCATTTTATCTTAATTTAAAACTATAATTACAATTTACTTGTAAACTTGTAAAGTTGTAAATTTACTTGTAAATTTGTAAAGTTTGCATGATTTCAGCATGAGAAACTTGGTCATCTATATAGAAATTTGAACAATCAACATCAAAATTTTGAATAATCCATTGAACTGCTTTTGATTGTTAGATATTTTACAAGGATCTTTGCTAGCATGTTTTTTACCTTTATCATGCTTTAGTTGACTAATACCACTGGAAGATTTACCAAAATAAGTCTTACAATAACTGCAATAAACTTAAATTGTGGTTCACAGCTAAATAAAACTTGAATCTGCTTTCCCAAAATGTTTAGTGAGTGATCTTACTCATTTATATACTTGAACTAATAGTAAACTAGTAAAATAGTAAATATTTAAAAATATAACCTTTAAAATAATTTAACTAATATATTTTCAAAAATAAACAGATTTTAAATAGATTAAATCTTTATGAAAATTAAATCTTTATGAATAATAAAAACACATAAATAAAAAAACTTCCAACATGAATATTTAATATATGATTTCATTTTAAAATCTTATATAAAATTAAGAATAAACTAAATAACTTTAAAATTTTTTTAACTTTGAAAAAAACTAAATTTAATAATCGATTCTCACTACATTTGCATCATTATTTAACAAAAATGCCCATATAAACAAATAAGTGCTTTGCATGTTTTGCATACTGAATGGAAACCCTAATACATCTAATATATATATATATATATATATATATATATATATATATATATATATATATATATATATATATATATATATATATATATATATATATATACTTTATTTTAATTCACCTCCTCAAGGCCACTACAGACAAGGAGGCTACTCATTTGTGGTTATAACCCTCTCTTAACTCTATAACTCCGATATACGAACCTTGACGAACAATGCCGCTGCGCGGAGAAACGAGTTGAGCGCGGTACTACCAGGGATGTGGTGGGGATCGAACTCGGAACCACTCGTTTATGAAGCGACCGCTCTACCACTACACCACTATCGCATTAAATATATAAATGTATATATATATATTTATATATAAATATATATATATATATATATATATATATATATATATATACATATATATATATATATATATATATATATATATATATATATATATATATATATATATATATATATATATATATTCAATATATTTATAATATATATATTCAATAGATATTGTAACCACAGCACTTTATGCATTACACTTTTTTGAATTTTACATAATATTTTATTGGGTCATTGTTATAAAACCTGATAAACCACAATAAAATGCTAATTTTAAAAATAATAATATTTAAAAATAATCTTTAAAGTCTCAATGAACTTTTTTACTTCTCCATACAACAGTTTTAGCTTTTTTCATTTTAAATTGCCCAAAACAAACAGCACCTTTTTAACAACTAAAAAAAAGTACTTTTTTCTCAAAAAAAAAAAAACCTTTTCTTTTAACTAAAACAACCTCTAAGAAAAAGTAAAACTTTTTTTATAGATTGTAATTTAAATACTGATACCTTTTTAAAAACTTTTATTTTTTTCCTAACTTTTTACTAATTTCTTATTAAATGAAATATATATCTATATCTATATCTATCTATCTATCTATCTATCTATCTATCTATCTATCTATCTATCTATCTATATATATATATATATATATATATATATATATATATATATATATATATATATATATATATATATATAAAACATAAATACAGACAAGCAGACTAACTGAAAAGTCTTTTAAACATGATATTGAGGTGATAAAAACTCAGGTTATCAGTCATAAATTAAATCATACTATCTTTATAACAATTTATAAGTATTTAACAATAATTAAACAAATTTTTTAGGTAACAGACCTAATATTCTATTCACGTATTAAATTGTTCATTTTCAACTTCCAAATGAAAGCTGATTGCTGTCCAATATAATATTCTTGTTTAATTTCACAAAACATATTTTTTTAAAAACATTTTTATTTTTAAAAAACCTTTCCATTTTTTAAAACCCTTTCATTTAATTCCTCATTAAAATTGAACATTTTGTAAATGACAAGCAATTTTTTTTCCTTTTCTCTTATTATTAATATAAGTTCATAATAATATTAGAAAAAAAAAAAATCAAAACATTTTCAAAATTACATGGTACAACAAACATTCTTGTCAGCCATTTTCCATACAAAAAGTTTTTTATTTCCAGTAATTGCAGCAAAATAACAACTATCAGGAGAAAATTTATGGGCTATAATATCAACTTCATTCTGTTCTTCTTTAACACTTGTTAGTTGATTTACATAGCTGAGTATTGCTTCATTTTTTCTAAAAACAAATGAAAAAGTGTAAAAATTTCTTTATTTAAATTGTAAAATATATTTGAAAATTGAAAAGTCCTGTCTATATATATATATATATATATATATATATATATATATATATATATATATATATATATATATATATATATATATATATATATTAGGGTGATGCAAAATTTGTAGGTTCAAAACTTTAGTTGTCCTCAAGCTTGCCCTTGTTCTATATGACAATAGTAGTTATTGGCCAAAATTTGAATCAAATCGGATGATATTTAGGGGTTGCCATGTTTTGTCACATTTTGGTATAAGGTTACAAAAAGTAAAAAAAAAATATTTTTTATTTTTACATTTTTTACATTATATTACTGAATTATTTATTATCAATTTCTTATTATTATGTGGTGGATTGTGGATGTTCAATGTTAAAAAAATCAATACTATAGTACTACTATGTAATTGCACTAGGCAATAATAAATCAATCATCTTCATCATTCAACAGTCATCTTCATCAGGGTAGACTTGATGCAACTGGAAATTCCTTCCGGTGAAGATCAACCAATCTAAGAAGAAACTGCTTTTGGTTTTCATCTTTCGTAACGCTTGAGTTAAAGGATGTTATAAGTGCTATGCCTCGTTCCGCGCAATCGTTGACGACTTTCATTTGACCAACCTTGTGCTTCATTTCAAGATATGTTGAATCTATTTCCCACTCTGAAGATTCTTTCATTAAAAATGATTCAGCATTTTCTTTTCCATTTTTCAAAATTAGATCGAAAAGTTCTGCGGTGCGTTGTGTGACGAAGGAAGGCAATGGGCTGTGACAATCGAATGTGGCAGCATCAAGTCTTTTGAGAGATTTCTGCCTTGGCTGTTGTTTCAGGTTGTTTGCCATGTCTCTCTTGGTGTTGTTGTCGACACGGGAATCGAAGAAAGCCAATCCTATTAGATGTTTAGAAAAATACCAGAGGTGGCGATGAAAAGCTTTTGCTGCATTAATTGCAATTGTACGATTTGGATATTCTTGAATCCGTTGAAGAAGCTTGGCATCATTGAATGGTGCTCGTTCAGCTAACAGAGCTTAATTCCAAAACTGTCCGTATACAAATGCCACAAAAAGACTTATATCTGTTATTCCTTTCTTTTCCTTTGCAGTAATAACAAATTGATCCTGAAACAAATATATCTTTATACAATATATAGCTTTTGCCATCCAACGTGCATTGTGTGTTGCACCTGGAGCCCGAAACTTCACTTTGAACTCCGATGTTGTAGTTGATCCTCCAAGAAAAATAAGGCACAAATTCAAGAGTTCTAAGTAATCATCCCTGGGTTGTTGACCTTTAATTGCTTCACTATAATATACTACCATTTCTTCACGGAGTTTGAGAAAAAAATCGCAGTTGTAAAATTCTTTATTCCCTATAGTGAACACCTCCTTGTTGATTGCTGGCCATTGTTTCTGGAAACGGTTAAAAATTCCAACTTCAGGTCCTCCATTGGTTCCAAATGCAGTCATGAAAATGGTGGAAAGCATGACTTCAAACATATGGTGCCTGCATGCTATCCATATAAGATTACGGTCAAGATTCTGCTCCATTATTGTGCAGGCACCAATGTTCAACCCAGTGTTAGACGAAGTAGTGTCAAAAACCAGTCCCCGAACAAGTTCTTTCAATTTCCAGTCTTTAAGAGCCTTCATGCAAGCATCAGCCTGTTGCTCACCTGTACCTCGATCAATCTTTGGAACGCCCAGCAATTTTTCCACCCCACCACCAGTCACAAGGATGGCAATTCTATCCACTTTTTTTTGACCACCAGTGATATCAGGTAAGAGCTTTCCATCCCAATGCAGAAGAAGCGGATCATCAGGAGAGAAATCAACCTTGTCAGCTATAGTCACCGCTTCACGAACAGATCGCCTTGATAAATCTTTTACCGAGTGACCAAGAGCCTGAGACACTGTTCCAACCACGAAGAGTGCACGGCGATCAGAAATATTAACACGATCAAGAGATGATACAACATTATTTGTTAGAACTTTCATCTTCTTTTTCGTTGAACCACTTGTGCTCAGTGTGCTGGAAGCGGAAGGAGTCTGATATACATCATCATCCGAGGAACTAGAGCTACTTTTACTCACAATGTCATCTGCTGATGAAGAAGAAATGAGTTCTGTTTTTTCCATCAGTTCCGCTTGACTTCTTTGACGCCTCAATTCCATTTTAGTTTCTCGGACTCGTTTCCGTGCCTCCCTAGCTGTTAAATTCCGATCAATTCCTGCCATACTACAACTTAATGGATTTTCTTGCTGCTGACGTAAAAATGCTTTATCTTCATCGTTTTTCATAACTTCTGATGCATTCTTGGTTGAAATATCAAAAAGTTCTTCAAGGTCAGCGTGGAAAATTCCTTCTTTCATTTGACAGCTGTCCAATTTTGATCCTCGGTGTTTTTTCAGCAGCAGATATTCGTCATAAAGTTTTTTTAACTTTCTTTCCGCATTGTCAATTCTTTGAGTTGGAATTTTTCCTCTCTCCCATATAACAAGAACTGCTTCAATTGTTGCCCGAATACTTTTTTTCACTTCTTGTTTCTCTTCTATATGATGGAAGAGCAACCTCCGAAGAACATCCCCTCTTGAAGGAAGTCTGGCAGACGACAGAGTTTGTGTAGGTTTACCAACAAGCCACACCTCAGCAGAAGATCTAGTGGTTGCCATATTATCAATTTCTAAATTATAAATAAATAAACAATGAAAAAACAAATTTGCGAAATTTGAGAAAATCACAAAATTTTACCAATGGTTAATTCATCTTATAAAACATGGCAACCCCTAAAATTGCTTCTTTTAGTCTAATTTTTGGTACACATGATCCTAGGTGATAAAGAAACACAGGCAACCTTGAGGAGAATGTTTTTTGTGACATTTTTTTTTTCTATTACAATCTGAATCACCCTAATATATATATATATATATATATATATATATATATATATATATATATATATATATATATATAAATAAACATATATATATATATATATATATATATATATATATATATATATATAAATAAACATATATATATATATATATATATATATATATATATATATATATATATATATATATATATATATATATATATATATATATATATATATATACAATCATACATGCACACACACACACACACACACACACACAAACAAACAAACACACATACATATAGGAGCATCAAAAAATTTGAGCGCTGTTGAATCATTTTTGCCCCCTCAAGCCAATAAATTAGACAAAAAAAAGACTAGTGATGTTTGGGCATCTTGAGGGAGGAGCAAATTTTTTTTTTACAACTTTTTTTTTACTATATATGAAAATATATGGTTTTTTTTACTTCCCCTTCAAATATCTTTAATTGGTGGTATTGAAAAGCATGAAAATTGGTAATTTTTTTTTTAACTTTCAGTTATTCTTATTATTTTATATTTATATTTTGGTGCACCTTTTGATAGTTTATCATTTTCATTTCTCCAATAGTTTTAGATTAGTACATACAATAAACATATTAAAATTGAGTGAAGCACAACTTACACCTATAAAAAAAGAAGCAAAACCAACTATATCAGGTAGAAACGTTTTTATTAATACTAGAATTATTAAATTATTGTTTTCTAAAATATTTATTTTAAAATGTCAAAATATTTGTGTTTAGATGCACAGCTTCCAACAAGCTTGGATATTCATTAACATTTAATACATAAACAACAAATTAAACCTGCAATACCTAATATTATTGCTTGTCATGTAAAAAAAACTTTTTTAAAGATGTTCAGATAGTTGATGTGAATGTATTTTGTCTAAAATTAGGAGACATTGAATTAAAGCTGGCTTTGATCTGTTAATTGATTTAATATATTTAGATAAATTAAGATTGTTAAAAAACAATATTGAAGACTTGAAATTTCTGGAAGATTAAGAAGGTGAAAAAAAGTTTTTTATTGGTTTAAAGGATATTAATTATAAAAAAAAGGTAGTCAATGATTGTAGTTATATAATTTAACCCTGGTTTAACCTCTGTTATTTTTAGTCATGTACTGATAGCATATTTGCGGCTGATAGTAAGCTACCATGGCCCTGGCCCTGGTCTAAAGTGAGACTTTTTGCAAACCCAGGACCCTCAAAATTATAAGAATTAGCAGGGGTTGATAGCGGGGGCTAGAAAAAAATTTATAATACTTAAAATATTATAATTTTATGCTTAGTTTACTATTTATTAAATACTGGCATACATTTATATATCCTTTATTTCAATCCTTGAAATTTAATTATGTAGTTGTAGTTTTATCACTTTAGTTGTATACTGTTCTCTCTGATCAGTTAAGCTTAGTGTTAACAAATTCAATCCTTGAAATTTAATTACGTAGTTAAAGTTATGTACTCAATGTATAGTTTTTGTTTAAAATGGTTTTGTACACATTTTTACAGGTTTTGTGAGCTAGTCAGAACATTTCAAGTACTCTATAGTAGTTAGTGACCCGGGTCCCAGCCCTGCTAAAAATGAATTTTTTTGCAAACCCGGCTCCTGCCAAATTATACTTAGCAGGTGTTGATAGCCGGGGCTAGAAAAAATTTTATAATACATTTACTATTTTATTAAATACTGAGACACATTTATATATTTTTAAACTAATTTATTTCTAACAAGATCGCAAGCAACCAATATAAAGTAATTAGTTATTAGTTACATTAAAATAGAGAATCAGTTAAAGTACTAGGAAAGGTAAAACGGAAGACTTAAAAAGTTGTAAGTTGTATAAAAAAAGAAAACATGAAGATGTGTAAGAATTCTTTTTTGATGTTCAAGGAAAAAAACTGGATTATAAGTTTTTTTAGCGTGAAGAGATAGTAAAAGGATGCAACTAAAAAGCCAAGAAAGAAATGCAACCTTACACTAATCAGATAGTGGCTTAGACTCAAAAGATAAACCAGGTTTAATTACATT